GTGTGTGTGTGTGTGTGTGTGTGTGTGTGTGTGTGTGTGTGTGTGTGTGTGTGTGGGGCACAGCACAGTTTCAGTCATCAATTAGCCCTCAGCAAATTTGAATTTCCCTCTTCTGGGTTCTTACTTTTTGAAAAAAATGTTGCTGAGGTAATGCTTTTAAAAAGTATTTTGCTCATATTAAGTTGCGTGCCGTGTGTGTGTGTGTGTGTGTGTTTCTGTGTGTTGTGTGTGTTTCTGTGTGTTGAAGAGAAGAGTAAGAGAGAAAATGAGAGAGAGAGAGGTGGGGGGAGCAGAAGCTCAGCAATATAAGGAGGGGGGAGAGCTGAGCTTCTTCTCTTCCAATCTTGCTGGATTTTTTTAAGAGTCTGTTCCAGCAGGGAAGTGAAAGATTCAGGCTTTAATCCAGTAAATCACTCGGACAGAGAAACAGAGCGATCTGCTCTCTGGATGGAGAAACGCTGCCGCAGAATGAGGAGTCTGGGTTTGAACTTTGCCATCACCTGTTTGTGGCTCCTTCCCTGGACGGTGAGTGTGTTCTGCTGCTCGTTATTTACAAAGTCTTCATGTTTCTCACACTGCAGGCAGAGCAGCTCACCTTCGCTCTGCTTCAGTGACACAAGGAATTCCTGAATGACAAAGACTTATTTTCTTTTTTACTTTGCTCTGCTCGTCTCCCCATTGCTGCTCTGAAGCACGAGGAAGACTCAGAGTTGGTTCTGGAAAGTTGAAACAAATACTCAGCTTTACAGTCATTATATATTCCTGCAGAATCTTTTATATATTTACATTATAGCTTAGTAATAAAACACTTTTTAGTCTCTAAAGTTTGATTCTTCACATGTTATGCTATAAAAGCTATAAAACATGAAGCAATCCTGAATTATATCGAAAGGAGCAGATTAAGAGTTTACGGTTTGTATTCAGAAATGTGGGTCTGCATTTAATGTAAACGAAACATTTTGATCAGAGGCTCATCTGCAGCTTTTAGTCAACAAATCTGAGTGCAAATAAATAAAGCATCACAACTTTTAACATGTCACCACTGCTGATATTTTTTGTCATTTTTGAAAACAAATGCAAAGATTTTTGATTTCAGGGCAGAGAAAACACCATCATAAGAAAACGAATTGCGCTGATTTTGTCACCTTATGACTGTTTCTGATGATAGTGAAATTAGTGCCTTTTAATTTTTTTATTTCTTTATTTTTTGCTGTGAGAGTTTTGAAAAACAGTTCCAGTTTTATTTGCATCTAACATTTGACTTTAACTTACATTGTCACGTGAAAACTTTAAAGCAACTTCAGTCTTTGTCAGATCAAAACATAGTTTTCAGACTGATTGTTGCTTCAAATATTCTCAATCTTTTTACAATAACAAACCTGAAAATCTTCTCAGCTTGTGGTGAGAATCTTCTTGCCTTTTAAACAAAACAAACACTCCCCTCAGGTTTTATTATTAGTATTTTTTCAGCTTTTGCCTGTGCAGGTGCTCTCTCACATGTGTTGTGCTTGCATCCACTCCTCCTCCGCTGTAGCTCAGCTGCAGTCATTGTGCTGGCATCTTGACACTGAGCCGGTGACACGGCTGTCACATCCTCAGCTCCAATTAGAACAGGTGAGAACAGCACAGAGCTGCAGGTTCTGGGGCCTGGAACAATGAGCACAGCTGGAGCTCACCTGGGTGCAGCAGGCCCAGACTGACACAGGCTGCTGTAGGAGGGAGGGGGGGAGCCAAGCATCTCATTTGTCTGTGAGAAATAATGATACCCTCGCAGCTGTTTATCCCCAGGTTCCACCTAAACTTTCTGTCTGCTCTGACCACGTAATGATGAGCGGTCCTGCACAACAAGTGTGAAACACTTTTTAACATCAGAACCAGCATGAAGAGTCCATCGCACCACAGGATTATCTCCTGCTGTCTGTTCGCAAAATGTCTCATGAACCAGAGGGTGGACTTCAAGAATGTAATCATTTCACACATCTACGGGTTAACTTTCCGAGTAAACCCAATTCAAGATGGCCACCAGTGTGGGGCGCCAAGTCTAAAATAAAATGCTAATATCACTGACACATTTTCATTATTTAGCTCACTTTTTGATTGTAATATCCTACATTTTGAATTTTCAATTTAGCTGTACCTAACCGCTGTTAACCCATAATTACTGGAACCACAGCTGTGTCTGTCTGTTAGCAGAATATCTCCTGAACTTCTAAACAGATTTTAATGAACCCCTCAAGATTTATTGAATGGATGCACATCTGGTTAACATTTAGCGTTGCCCTAATTCAAGATGGCTGCCACCGCTTAGCCAACCCAAGCATAGCTATGACTCAGTCAGTTCTGCAGATACTGAGCTGCAATTTGGTGTCAGTGGCCGATAGTCATTCTCCACACTTTACACACTAACATATCATGCAAGATCTTGCAATATAAGGTTTTAACAGAAAAGAACAACTTTGTCCTTTTTCAGCACAAGTCTAAATCTCTCACCTAACAAATGGCTGGTGATAAGCAATCATGGAACAAATTCTAAGTCCTTAATTAAAATGTAATTTGCGATGCAAACTGTACAGCAGTGTTATTTAATCAAATCTGTATTCCCCACGTTAACATCCTCGCCAATGATTTTATTCACTTAAATTTGTGTCTTTTGTTGGACACAACAGCAGGAAATTGCCTGATTTTAAAAGTGTTATTTTATTATCTAAGAGGGTTGCAGGCTGGAAGAAGCGCTCATATCTTTCTCTGTGATTAATGTTTTATTCTGTGCAGTGGTTAATAAAATAAAGCAACACTAATATCTTAAAAATTATACAGCATTTATCATTGTAACGGAATTAAACAGCAACATACAACCTCTGGAAGACGTTGAATATTACTGCTCTGTCTTGTTTAATTTTTATGAAAATGCACAGTTTCTGTGCGTGTTTTTATGCATGATGTGTAATACGGATAAGACTGATTCACAGAATAGGAGACAATAAATGGAGATGACATTTTTAAATATGACAATTATCCAAAAAGATTCAAAACAACTCCAAGAAGAAAGAGGACATGAGTAGAGATGGAGGAAATTCACCAACAATACAATTCTTAATCAAGTATGCAATCTGAACCTACATAAGAATTTAAATAAGGTTATTTAACGAAGGAAAGAGGAGAGGGAATGAATGTTGAACTCTATGTTGTAATTATATATAATAGAGCATATTCTCCAGCACATTGATCACCAAGTCGTTAGATTCATTCCTTCATCAAGGTTGGATGAAAGAATGATTGACAGTTTTAACAAGCGACCAGGAGACCAAGGACAAACGGACAAATTAAAAAAAATGAAAGTTTTAATCTAACACGCCTCCTTGCCTAAAGGAAATAACCTATCGATCCCAGTCAATATCAATTCCTGCTCTCCGTTAGAAACAAAACACTGAATAATAATTATTTTAATCGATTTATTTGCAGCTTTTTATAAAGCTACAGTGAAAGTGTCCTTCATGTGTTGTCACGTTGACGGTCCATCCTTTCTGTCACTTTCAATTGATTTATTTTGCAAATTCAGTGTTTGTGCAGTCAACATACTGATATTAATGCTGTCTGTAAGGATTTGTTCTGACTGTATTGAATGGAACTCTTTTTTTACTTTTTATATTTAGTTACTGAAACCAAAAGCACCACCACGGGTTTGGAAAGTTGACACCCTTTTCCACTAGTGCCACCTAATGTAGTGTCGGTACGGTCAGTGTGGGAACGGGTCAGTTCGGGTGCTTTTCCATTGACGTTCCAGTCCAGTTCCAATGGGTGTGTTTTGGGCATTTCCACAATCCGAAAATCGTCGTCACACATATTTGCCTGATGGTGGCGGTCATGCTGTTTGTAGGCAACCATTAAACGTAGCAGTAGGTTTGAACCGGTTTGAACTGCTCCTTCTTCTGGTCCTTAATCATGCGGTAATCGCACTTCAACTTTTTCAGTTTGTCCCGACGTTGCTGCGGGGTTCTCTCATTGCCAAGAGTGGCCATCAGCTCCGACTTCTCCTTAAACACTTTTTTGTTGCGAGTCGACCCATCTGGCTAACTTTGAATTTTCTCCTCTGCCACCAAGCACAAAAACTCCTGCACCTTGTATTGGACCATGCTGTGGATCTCTGTTCTGCCATTGTGAATGTTGCTGCTACAATTGAAAAAAATTGCGCCTCGCGTTGTTGTTGTAAAGGCAGCTCAGACGCAACCAGTGACTCCACCCCTAACCAATCAGTGACGAACAGTGTTCTGACCTCGCATTTTGGTGTCGACTGGGACCACTTGAAACCACAACAAAGTAGGTACTAAAAACGGACTGGTTCCATGAATCTGGCCTAATGAAAAGGGCTTTGAACCGTACCGAATCAAACCAAGCCAGCCTGAACTGGTTCTAGTGGAAAAGGTGATGGTTGTGACAAAGCTGAATTAAACTGAAGTAACTCCTGTGCAGGTGGATTTATTAACAAATTAGGAGACACAACACCGTCTACATTAAGTACACTCAATATTTCCCTGTTTCTCATACCTAAAGAGGAAATAAAGGCATATTAAATTCAATAGTTCAGTCATTTCAGACTCTTCCTGTAGTGTAGGTCAGCAATGACTCTCTAACTTTTCTTATGGTCATGAGCTCAGGATCTCATTATTATGACTCATTTTCAGTGTTAAGGTATCACAATGGTGACCAGTTTACTTATTTTGAAAAGAAAGGTTCATATGTTTTGTTTTGTTTTGTTTTTTTTCTGTACAGGTACAAGAGTCTTTAAAGCCTCTAGACCTGAAAAGTGACCAGTGGAGGGAGGGTGAAGCAGCAGGAGGACAAGATGCTGATGGAGCATCTTTGAAGGTTAAACACGTCTCCAAAGACTTGCAGATCATTTCCACCAAACACAAAACGCCCACTTACGGTTCACTGGGTCCCTACGGCTGGCCCCAGAACTTCTCACAGGCCCCCGACCAGTTCCTGTACCGGCCGCCTCCTCCCAAATCCAAGAGTCCCGCTAAAACCTCCCCCAAGGCCAAGAAGATCCTGGGCTGGGGGGACTTCTACTTTAACGTGAAAACCATGAAGTTCAGCCTCCTAGTGACGGGGAAGATCGTGGACCACATCAACGGAACCTTCAGCGTCTACTTCCGTCACAACTCGTCCCGTCTGGGCAACATATCCGTCAGCATCGTCCCACCATCCAAAGCTGTGGGATGGGAGGTTCTGGATAGCCCGGCTCAGAGCAGCCAGATCAGAAACTCAGTCGTGTTTCCGAACCTGACATCCCAACTCTCCAGCCCCCCTCAGTCCACCAGCTCTGCTCCCCCCGATCATCAGAAACCCCAGAGGGACGTGATGATGGTGACTGAACTCAACTGTCGTATAGAGTACCAGAGAACCAACCGGTCCAAGAAGACCAAGCCCTGCATGTATGACCCGGGACAGACCTGCTACTCTGAGAACACCCAGTCCCAAGCTGCCTGGATCTGCGCCAAGCCCTATAAGGTCATCTGCATCTTCATCGCCTTCACCGGCACCGACTACAGGCTGGTGCAGAAAGTCTGCCCGGATCACAACTTTCAGGCAGATCCAAACCAGCAGCACCTGGGATGATGAGCTCAGAGACTCTGGAACTGTTTATACTGTACATTCCTCATGCATCCATCAAAATCTCATCTTTAAACAGCAAAGACTAAAAACTTAAAACACGCTGAACAAAACAACTGCAGTTTGAACCAAAACCTTCACATCAGCAACATGAAACTGCTCTCATCGGCCCAATTATCAAGAACTTTTAGACAATAAGTTTTCTGCTGAAGCTGTTCCACTTAAAATTCACCAACATGAATCACTGATTTCTTTTGACAATCTCTTAGTCAGTCACTCAAAGAAAACCCTGTACATATTTAGAAACGTTTCTTTTATAATTATTAACAAAAACTGACTTCAAGTGTAAATTATTTATTTAGCAGTTTTAAAGTGCTTACTTTTTGGATGTTTTTCTCTTTAAAGAACTCCTTCAGTCTGAGATAAAAAACAGATATTTTGCTTATTTTATCAGCGAGTCAGACTACGCATGTCCCTGGCTTCCTTCCAGTTCGATCTCAGTTTCACTCTTTGAACCCTGGAGGTTTTTCATTTCAGACCTCAGGCTGTCTCAAACATGCTTTCCTTGTCGCTACGGCAGGCCTTGCGGGTAAGTACATTTGTCTAGTAATTCATTAAAACAGATGCAAAATACGGCTTTAAGGATTTTTTTTTCTTTTTGCATGTTTGAACATTCATTAATAAGTCACTGAATGTTACAAACTTAGGTCAGCATGTCACATTCTTGCTTGCAGAACTGTCTGCTTTAACAGTGTGTGTGTGTTTTTTTTCTATTTTCAAACTGTCTGCAAAACAAAAATAGTGGTTTTGTCCACGAGCTTCAATTTTTTAAGGACATTTAACTGAAGTCCATGCATCGAGCAATACTTAGAGTTAGAAAAGCTCAATTTAACTTTTTTATAAAGCACAGTTAAAATAACCTGAGTTGTTTTAAAGTAAATACTTGCAAAACACAACTAAAAAATATTAAAATAAAAAACATTATAATTAATTTAATGCAGAAAAGTATACATTAGGGGTGCAACAATACAGAAAATTCACGATTCGGTTCGGTTCAATACTTTAGTCTCACGGTTCGATATTGTTTCGATACAAAAAAGAGAAATACCCTTTTTAACTTGTGATTTATGTAAATTAATTATGAACATTTGTTTAACCTCAAAAGTACAGTTTTTAAATTAAATGTTGCTGAAACAGCAAATTTTCCAGCGGATCTTCTCACAAAAGTGCAGCCTAGGTGGAGTAGTCGAACACAGATCCACTGATCCTTTAACACAGAGCACCTTCAGAAGACAAGTGGATCAAATAAAATTTTAAAAAATCTGTATTGTTCGATACAACTGTGTATTGAACCTAAAGCGCTGTATTGTATGGTTCGATACCGGTAACTTCCAAAGTATTGTTTGCAAAAATAAAAAAGCCAGAGAAAATAAACGTATCTTTAGCTGCCTGTTAAAAGCTCAAAACTGAGATGTGTAAAATATAAAAACTGATGATTTGCAAATCTCTCTAACTTTCATTGTCAATGGAACACTATAAAAAAACAACGTTTCTACTAAGAAACTACAATTTTCTGGAAAAAATAAGTCTCAGTTACAAAACGGCAGCGTCGACCACCAAGCAGCAGCTGCAGGTCTGGAATTTGAAATGAGTTCAGTTTCTTCTTCTCTAAAGAAAATTCAGCTTTAAACAGTAAAAAGCTGCAAACACAGGAGTGATGCTGTCTGTCAAAGATGAGAGAAGACTTCCATTAACAGATATTTCTACTTTAATCTGCGTTTTGGGCCAAAGCAGCACGTACTTACAGAACATTTGGACAAACAGAACACTTCCTGCAGTTTTTCACTCCCAGCATTTCTATAACTGCTTCACGGAGTCACATGTTTGTTTCACTGCTCTTTATTTGATGGGTTATTTCAAACATCAAAAGGCACATTATTCTGTCTCTTTGTTTCTGAACCTCTACAGAAATGTGTTAAAGTAATTTTGGGGGACAGAATGTTTGTTTTTTTTCTCTGAATGCATTTCCTTAAGAAGGTTTCAAAAGACAGTATTATGAAAACAACACAATATTGTCCAGGATGTTTGTGTTGAAATGTTTTAGACTGATTATTGATCAGTTTGTTTGTTTTTATGACCCTTCTGTGTTCATCCTCTCCCCCATGATGCAGCCCCTCATCCTAAGAGGTTCGGGGTGTTTAGGGGGGAAAGAGGGTCCGGTCACCTCGGAGTTGTCCAGAAAAAACCTAGGCAGTGGAGGCGGTGGATGGACCGGACAGGAGACCCTTTCCCAGGATGACCCAGAAATGTGGAACCTTCTGCAGCAGGAGAAGGACAGGCAGTGTCGGGGACTGGAGCTCATTGCATCAGAGGTGACACCCACCATTTAATAAAAATAATAATAATAAAATTAAATAAACAGCCAGGAGACTGATCTGATTTAAGGGTGAAGAAGACTGGGAGGCCGAAATGAGAGCTGGCATCAGCAGGAGAGTGTAGAAATAAAGTTTCTGATTTAAAAAAAAGGAGCTGCAAAGACAAATGTCCAAAAACACAAACAGAGTGACCAAAATAACACAAAAGAAAAGAAAAGAAAATCAGACAAAGTGCTTTTATTCTATAAAAATTTAGACTGAATGCTAAGTTCTAAATGATTCTGCTGAAATTTGCTGAAGAAGCTGAAACTGGAATAAAGATTAACAGACTAAAATCAGCAGAACTCAAGCTAAAATCACAAAGAGCTAAAAGCAGCAGAACAGTAACTAAAATTAGTTGAATTATGCTAAAGCTAAAAAGGGCAAAACAATAAGTAAAATAATTAGAAAAACCTATGCTAAACTAATAGTCAAAAACAGATGCTAAAGCTAAAATTAAATTAACCATTAATTAAATTTAGCTACACTCAGCAAAAAACAGGACAATGATAGCTAAAAATCCAAAAGTTAAAGGTAGTTTCAAGGCTATAGCTAAAAGTAGCAGAAGGTAGCAAAACAAAAACAGTAAGCTAATGAAGCAGATTTCACAGCCATTGATGTTTTTAAAGAAACTGAAGCGACCTTGATGTATTTCGGGTAATTTTGTTTTAAATAAAGTTAAATATTTTGGAAAGTGTAAACGTTAAAAACACCAAAGACAAAGCCCACTATTATCAATAAAGCCACGTGCTCTGATATTTGAATGGGTTATATTGCAGAAACTGTAGTTTGATGGATGAAGAACACAAAGATTTGGTGAGGAACGAAAAGGTGAAATATTCATTGAAAGAATGAGATACATATAAATAAATAAATAAATAAATAAATAAATAAATAAATAAATCTAAACTACAAGACCATAACATTATGAAAAAAACAATTTCATTAAACTTGCACCTTCCTCTGCATTTTCAGGTTTAATTAAAACTGTAATGAGCACCAGCTTGTTGTAAAAACGTGATATTTGTTTAGATATTTGCTCTGTACTTTGACTTTGTGCTGCAGAAACAGCTGGTTCTGACAGGTAAGCTCTGTTCAGACCAGTATTCAGTAAACCATTAAGCTGGTTTGATTTTAGTGAGTTTATTATTTTCAGGTTTAGGGTTTACTTTTGGCTGGATTTTTTTTCCATTTTGTTTTAAATTATAACAGTTTCATGCATCATGTTCTTGATACTGTGAAGATCAGCTGTTTAATGGTAAATGGTACTGAACTTATAGAGCGCTTTTCAAGTCCCTCCGGACCCCAAAGCGCTTTACACTAACAGACATTCACCCATTCACACTCACATTCACACACTGATGATGGCAAACTACACTGTAGCCACAGCTGCCCTGGGGCACACTGACAGAGGTGGGGCTGCCATGCATCGGCGCCACCGGACCCTCTGACCACCATCAGTAGGCAAGGTGGGTGAAGTGTCTTGCCCAAGGACACAACGACTGAGACGGCTGGACGGGGGATCGAACCAGCGACCTTCTGGTTCCAGGACGACTCCCCTAACCACTCCGCCACAGGTTTCTGTCTGTTTTTAGTTTTTCGTTGTGTTTTGCTTTTCTTCATTTTCTTATTTCACTTCTGAGGTTCATGTTGATAAGGTCCAAGTTTGCTCTTGTCTTTTTGTCGAATCACTGTTAGAGGCAGTAAATTTGTTCCAGTGTTGTGATTTCTGCATACAAAGGGCCTTATGATTTGATTTATATAAAACTTTCTCAATCTACTTCACTGTCTGATCAGGCTTTGATAGTTTGGGTCCACCATCTTTTTACATCTCAACTTAACACATTTCATCTTTTCCTTTACTTTTTGTTGACTTGTTCCACGTGATCTATAGTTAATATGAGCTAAAACAACAAACAGGAGTGTTATCATTCAGCAAACAATGTGTGCAATAGATCTAATTTGATCGACCGTGTGTCTGTAAATAAGGAAAGCTTGTGCTGAGGAGAAGTGCATTGTGGACCGGAAGGTATAAAACAAGAAAAACAAGTTTTTTTCTGCACAGGGTTCTTCCTCAGCACTGAAAACAAGAACTGAACTGTTTTCTGAGGCTTCGTTGGATTTTATTTAGCTGATTTAATCTAAGCTGTGTGTGTGTGTGTGGGGGGGGGGGGGGTCTTCCACAATTATAAATCTACAGCTCCATCAGTCACAATGATGTTCTGAGAGAATTTCATCTTCAAGTTCTGTCAGTCATTCTCCTCTGCAGTTCCCCTCCCAGAGGAGTCTGTTTTTTTCTACAAGAACGCTGTCAAATTATCCCATTACTTTCCTCAGTGATGTTTTTTATTGATCTGCACATTTTGAGTTGAGATGTGGGGAGGAGGGTTCGGTGTGTGTCAGGATGGAGTTTTCTTTTCTGAGACAGGGGACTGGATTTAAACCTTACTATATGATTGAGCGATCCCCGAGCTGTGACAGGCTGAGTACAATAATGAGACTTTGGGAGGAGGGGGAGAAGATACAGAGGAAGAGTCGGAGGAAATATGAGCTGAAGTGAGAGTGTGAGAAAAAAAGAAAAACTGACACATGAGGAAAATTCATTTGCATTCACTGCTTTTCTCTCTCTTTTTGCAGCTCTCGCTACAGTTATACAAAAGATTCAAGGCAATTTTTATTACATTTATATAAAAAAAATATACAATCCTCTTTATGATCTTGTATCACACAACTTGGGTTTGTATTCTGATTGTTTCGTCTGGGTTTTGTAAGAGACGTGAACTTAAACTCATAACTGATTGTTAATAATAATAATAATGTGGTTCCATCCTCTTTGTTCAGTCTTTTCTGGGTAAACAAAGACTATTTTTAGGAAGTGACAGTGTTCTGATTTGTATGTGCAGCTTTTGACAGTTTGCTCTTTTGTTTTTGTCAGAACTTCTGCAGCCGTGCAGCTCTGGAGGCACAAGGCTCCTGTCTGAACAATAAATACTCTGAGGGATACCCTGGACAAAGGTAAACACAACAATCAAAGATCATCCTCACTGACGTTATTATTATTATTATCATTATTATTTTCAGATTTTGTCAAATTTAATTGAGTGGAACAGCTGAACCTTCAGTGTGGACCTGAAGGTTCTGGATGATGCCATTCACTAAAATAAATTTCAGTAAACTTGACACATGATTATGCAATACAAGGCAACACAGCTGCACAGGAAGTGGTGCAAAATGATGACATGCAATGATAATGACCCCATTTGAAACTGAATAAAACATATGTGCTGTATTCTATATGGTACAGTAAACTGAGCAAAAGTTTCAGTCAAAATTAATTTAGCTGTACTAAACCTGGCAAAAGGCTTTAGGTAAAAATACCTAAAACCTAAAAGTAGCACACTAGAAAATTATGTCAAAAGTTTAGGTAAAAGTAGCACAACACTGGCGAAATGCAATAAAATGTTGGCTAAATGTAGTACAACACTAGCTAAATACAGTAAGGTTTAACTAAAAGTAGCACAACATTAGCTAAATGCTGTAAAAATTTAGCTAGAAGCTACATGTAGCTAAAAATAGAACAGTACTGGCTAAAAGTAGTAAAATGTTAACTAAAAGCTACAAGTACAACACTCAATATTTTGAAGGATTTGAAGAGATCTCAGTCAATGTGTTTCTAGAAAGATATTTTTTGAAGAGTATGAACGTTACTAAAATTAAAGGTCAAAGCACCTATCTTCTGAGCTGAACAAAAAGCAAAAAATATGCACAAATACTTTGATTGCAAAAATATAATTGCGAAAAAATTAAGACAAACCTATCATTGCAAATGCTGAATCAGCGTTCGCCACAATAATACAACCCAATGAAGGAAAATAAGCAGCAGTTCATTATGATCCTGTGGAATCCAAATAGTCACAGTCAGGTTTAACTCAGTGTGTGAGAACTTCTCAGGTACTATGGAGGCGCTGAGGTCGTCGACCAGATCGAGCTGCTCTGTCAAAGGCGAGCGCTCACCGCCTTTGGTCTGGATCCAACCCTGTGGGGCGTCAACGTGCAGCCGTACTCCGGATCTCCAGCTAACTTTGCAGCCTACTCGTCTGTGCTGCAGCCTCATGAGCGCATCATGGGCCTGGATCTGCCTGATGGAGGACAGTGAGTGAACAAGGCATCTACTACTCGATCCCTGTGACTTTGAGGAGTCATTTTAAAATTTTAGTTTTAACTTTCAGAGCACTTCATGGTCAGGCCCCCAAATACATACTGGACCTTCTGAAGCCTCTCTGTCCATCCAGGACTTTGAGGTCTTCTAATCAAATGCTGCTGGTGGTCCCTCGAACCCATTATAAAACCAGTGGAGACAAAGCTTTTCAGGTGGTGGCCCCGAGGCTCTGGAACGCTCTCCCTCTGTCCCTTTACTGCTCAGATTCTACTGACTCTTAAGAAACATCTTAAGACATTTTTATTCAGACAGGCTTTTAGTTAAGTGCTTTTTATTGTGTTTTAATTGTTGTTTTTATATCTGTGATCTGTTTTATTGTTTTTAATTATTTTTGCTTTCTGTGAAGCACTTTGTGATGTTTGTCTATGAAAGTCCTGATGCATCTCAGTAATCCAGGTAAAAAAATCAAAATGAAAAAAAAATTGTGTAGGTCTTCTGGACGGGTTAAGAACCCGTCCAGAAGACCTACACAATTTTTTTCTTTTTGTCTGTGAAAGGTGCTATAGAAATAAAGTTTACTTACTTACTTACTTACTATCAGAGACATCACCAATTGTTTAAAATGTTGCAATAATTGGTTTAAAAAACTGATCGATAAAGGTGATAATCAAACAAAACCTTGTGGAGGAAATCTATGAAGCTCAATTGGGTCCTAAAATTTGTTTAAAAACTTTTTTGCTTGAAATTTGAAACAAAACTGAAAAATAAAATTAGAATCTGAAAAACAAATTTGAAACTAAAGATTTTTTGAAACCGATAATAAAGAATGTTCATAGAAGTGAGAACTGGAAATGTCTTTAAAACATCACTGATATTTAATGTTTATGTTTATGGTTTGATAATTAGCATTCAGGAAATTATCATAATGAATTTGTCAATATATTTTCCCCATTACATAAGCAGCTTATATCAATGAAGTATGTTATTGTGGCAAATAATTAAATGTATGGTAGGCCGTTGTATCATATAATTAACATAAGACATACTGTTGTATCATATAATCAAAGATGTATGGCAGGCCGTGGCATATTATGAATAAATGTATGGCAGGCTGTTGTATCATATACTTAACTGAAACTGGAAAAAATAGAATCTGACAAGTAGTTTTTAGTTTTTAAAATTTCTTTTTTTTCCCAGTTTCAGTTTCAAAAAAACCTTTTTGAACAAACCCGATGATCCCAATTCAGGCAATTCTTTTTACTTGTTTTTTCAAAGTATTTTTGTTTTATTTTTGTTATTTGAATCTTTTCTACATAAAAATGAATGACACTTTTTAAGGCCCAACATCAAGTAGGATTAAAGGGATAAATTCTGAACCTGTCATTGACTGAAAACCTCTTTGAAATGAGCAGATTTTTAAATGACAGTCAGAGAACAGGAAGAAATGAGCCGCTCAGGCTTCACAGTCAGACTCTGTATAAAGTTAATACGATGGCTGGCTGGTATCTACCTTTTATGTAATACAGTTTTATACATTTGCAAGAAGTGAATATTAATAGATTTAACTACTTTTACTTTACATCTCAACACTTGTATTGTTGATAAACACACATGTTGTAACATTTCAGCCTATGCTTGTCACTCTCAAAGATTCACAAATAAAGCAACCATCCATAACATTATGACCACCTTTCTGACATTGAATAGGTCTTTCTTTGGCTACCAAAGCATCCACGGTGCCACGATGAGCCAACTGACTGTAGCAAATCCTTTAGATAATCTGTGTGTATCCACTTTTAGTCTTCCATAATCTCAGTAAGAACGAACATTTTGTTTTCTGTCTTATTTCAGCTTGATCCACGGCTACATGACAGACACCAAGAGAATCTCAGCCACCTCCATTTATTTTGAATCCATGCCTTACAAGCTGAATGTGAGTAGAGTTCAAACCTTTCTAAACTAAGCTGTCAAGGAAAATTTTGAAACAAGGGAGACAAACGCTGTTTTCTTTCTCTGCCTGTGTTTTCAGCCGCAAACGGGTCTAATCGACTATGAGCAGCTGGAAAAGACGGCTCGCCTCTTTAGACCCAAACTGATCATTGCAGGAACCAGCGCCTACGCTCGCCTCATCGACTATTCACGCATGAAAAAGGTTCACCATCCCAGCACCTGCAGCGTGGCAGAGTATGAAAAAAAAAATCAGTCTTTAGTGAGCCTGTGTGTCTTTCAGCTGTGTGTGGAGCTGAATGCGTATCTGCTGGCAGATATGGCTCATATCAGCGGTCTGGTGGCAGCTGGAGCTGTTCCCTCCCCGTTTGAACACGCCGACCTGGTCACCACCACCACCCATAAATCTCTGCGGGGAGCAAGGTGCATGCATTGATCACAAAGTAAAAAAAAATAATAATAATAATAAATGGGATCCATTTTTATTGACTTTGTTTCACTCTACAGAGCCGGCCTCATTTTCTACCGCAAAGGCGTGCGATCCGTGGACGCCAAGGGTCGGGAGGTGCTCTACGACCTCCAGGACAGGGTGAACTTTGCCGTGTTTCCGTCACTTCAGGGAGGACCACACAACCACGCCATCGCCGGGGTGGCTGTCGCTCTCAGACAGGTCCAGATCAGTGCTCAGCAGAGATAAATACATAAAGTTTTTGTACCTTATGTTTAAAACGTTCACGTATTCCGAGGTGGAGTCCCTCCGTCATGCAGGATGCCGTGTGTCTCTGCAGGCCTCCACTCCCATGTTCAAACAGTACATTGCTCAGGTGCTGCTGAACGCCAAAGCCATGGCCAGCGCTCTGCTCAAGAAAGGCTACACCCTGGTGTCAGGTGGGGGTTTTAACATAAGCTAGGACATATGTAAAAACTTTATATTTTGACAAATATATTAAAAATATGAAATTATATTCAGAAGCTCTACTGTTGCTGCACGTTCCTCTCAAATATCTGATGCAATGTTTTGTTCTTCTCACTCCTGCAGCCTGTTTTGAATTCTGTTTTTATGAATTTAGATAAGTTCACTTAACTTTAACTCCACAACTGAATGGAAAAAAAAGTCTAAATTTGAAGTGAGTCAGCATGAAAGTGAGTTTATAATAAATCAAACTGTTTAATCTTTTTTTTAAGGTGGAACAGACAACCACCTGGTTTTGGTTGACCTTCGACCCCGTGGGATAGACGGGGCTCGAGCTGAGAGGGTCCTGGAGTTGGTGTCCATCACAGCCAATAAGAACACTTGTCCCGGAGACAAGAGCGCACTCACACCAGGAGGACTCCGACTGGGTAAAAACAGATCCATCCATCCATCCAAGATCTTTTACCTGCTTCTTTCTTTCAGGGTTGTGGGGGTCACTGGTGCCCATTCCCAGCAGACACTGTGAAAGGGCCAAGGAACACCGCGCCGAAAAAACCCCAAATCAGAGCTGTAAAAATCAAAACACTTCACACTTTGTATTTGTTTTATTTTAAACGGTTTGTTGTTATTGGTTTATCTGCAGGAACTCCAGCTCTGACGTCTCGTCAGTTTAAGGAGGCTGATTTTGAAAAGGTTGTGGATTTCATTGATGAAGGAATCAAGATCGCGCTGGAAGTTAAGAAAAAAACTGGTGAGGTGGTTTCTTTTGGTTCAAACTGGGCTGATGCAACTTTTGTTTGCTTGAATTTAGTATCTCCTGTCAGGAAACTTGGCCACCTTCAAGTCCTTCCTGCTGAAGGACCCGGACACCGCGGTGAACATTGCGGAGCTCCGCCAGCAGGTGGAGCGGTTTGCTCGGCCCTTCCCAATGCCAGGATTCTCTGATCATTAAAAACACAGCAGATAATGAGCTGTTTCTCTCACAGTCCACCAGTCTCCTGTAGAACTGTGATGTCAAACCATTTATTAGGTCCTGTGTACTGCTACATGTCCTAATGACAACATATCAGATGATTTATCAGTCTAATATGATGTAAACATGTTAAAAATGACAGATTTCTTGTTAATTTCTCCCCCCAAAAAAGCATAATATGGTAAAATGGTCCTTTACATTTAAAATTTTATAGTTTAACATCTGTAATTGGTGTATTTTAATTATCAAATATTCACTAACAATCCAAATATGAAAGCTTTTATTTATGTTATGTTTTTGCCATAAATGATGGCTCGTGTATAAACAGATACTGAGTGTTAATGTACAGCAAAAATATAGAAAATCTTAATAGGAAATGTAGTAATTATGATAAATGTCATGTTAATAAATAAACTGATCTTTTTACAACAGTGTCATGTTGTGAGTCATTTAGTTGCATCTTAACAGTAACGTGTTCTTTAAAAGTCAAACAAAAATAATGTAGTTTTTCATATTTGTGAACAGATTTTGATTAAATGAATCAGATAATTGGTGTTTTGACATGTCTCATCCATATTAATAATATTCAAAATAATAATAAACAACAAGCTAACAGTAACATCCTGAAGTGAAGGTGATGTTTTGTAAACTTTCACATCAAACATGATGTTAGTTTTTAATTCTGAGGAAAGTGCAGTTATTTTTGTTTGTTCTGCATTTTGTCAACAAATGAGTCATGCAGCAAGACTGTGTAATTTCTGTGTAATTTCTGTGTAAAAAGTCAACGTTACACAAAAAATACGAAGAGTTGAACATTTCAACACCACAGACATCTTTCCTCTTGTCTACAAACTATTTTCTGTAGTTTTTCTTTTTCATTTTTTTCTTTTTATTAACTGAGAAAGGGAGGAAATCTGTAATAAATCTTACTCTAATTGCTAAAACTTTCCTGTAAATGTTTACAGGAGCCTAAACAACTGCTTCTGTGTCACGGATGACAGGAAAACTCTTTTCGTAATGAAAGGAGGAGCCTCTGATTTTACAAACTGTTTGAAGAGATGGAATTTCCTCCAGTCATTTCCTCTCATCTATTTCAGGGAACAGAAAATAAAGTCGATCCCAAGACAGTTGTGACAGGAAGACAGTCGCCTCAGAGGTTTTTGTTTTCATTTAGTTTTGAGACACCTTTTGCTTGTGATTTGGATTCAACTTCAAACGCCTGAATTATTTCGTTTGACTTCTCAGAGTCAGAAAAACTGTCATGAATTACAGACACTGACTTGGCAACATATTCAAATATAAATGAAAAGAAACCAGTTTAGGAGAATAAACTGCTGCTACTAAATAAATGAAAAAAGTTAAAAAAGTAAAACAAAAAGTAGCCCAGATAAAATCACATGAATCTGATAAATAAATGGTTTTATGACATAAAACAACTTCCTTGGAGCTTTTTTCTTACATTTTTATGAGCCGTGGGAACATCAACAATGTTTGTCTTTTTTAATACACATCAGAAGCTAAAATGCAGGATGGATGGATTTTCTTAGGAATCTAAGAAACTGACCTTAGTAAGACATATAGGGGGAAAAACAGTTTGGACACTTTTTGTGTTTTAGATTTTAGTGATATATTCTTTGTTTACTGATCAGGGGCTGCAGTAAACAGACATACTATCAGAAAGACTTAAAATCCTTCACCAATAAAACTTCTGAAATCACATTTCAGTTTATTTAACACTTAAATCTTAACACACTCAGAATCATAAAGTTTAGTCTCACCTTTAACTTTGTTTTAATCTCATTTTTATGTTTATGTTTTTCATCATGAGAAAGATTTTTACAGACTTGTGAGGAAATAAAACAAAACAGGACATCAATCAGCCCTGAGGACAAAAAAAAAAAAACCCTAATTGGATATTTGTTTTGTTTTGAATCAGACATCTTTGTTTTCTAGCCCACTTTTTGTCTTTTGTTGTTATTGTTGTTTGTTTGTTTGTCCTCAGATGACGGCCGTTGCTTCTGTTCCTGACAGAGGAATGTCTCCGAGGCTCCGAGGACAAAAGGCAGCTGAATCGCAGGTCAGAGAGACGCAGACCGTTCTCAGCTGCAAACACAACAAACACACACACACACACATACACACACACACACACACAGACACACACACACAGAGAGAGAGAGAGAGAGAGAGAGAGCAAAATTTCTCACGACCTGAAAGCTGCTCCGTGTCAGGTTTTTAAAGTTTTTATAACTACTTTTAGAAAATCAATTGAGCTCAAGTTTCCTCACACAAGTTCACTTCCTGTTATTGCCACTGTAATCTACTATAATCTACTGTAATCTACTGTAATCTCTGCAATCATCACAAAAATGGTGAAATAACAGTTTGTTATTCATACGTCTTTATTAAAACACAGAAAAAAGTAAGCCTGAATGATTTTAAGGCTTAAAATAAAACGCATCTTCATATAAATGACAGCTTTGTTATGTTTGGAGATTTTTCAAAAACAAAAACGCAAATTTCTTGAGTTATTCTCTACATTTTGCTTCCAATGCAAAAAGTTTTTTTTTTCAAAGAGCTAATTGTCAAAACAGTAGATAAACTGGAGGATCTCAGGATTAAATGTTTACCTGCTTCTTGAAGTGACAGTCTTTGAATGTGCTTCATCTGTTGTGGAAGAGTTTGTTTATTTATGTGATTGTTTAAGTGACACATTTTTTTGTCCTTCACATGGCATACCCAAATATATAAGCTCGTTATACAATTTATGGTCATAATGAGACATAAGGAGTGGACAGAAAACCGTAAAAAGTAAACTCCTGCCTCCCAAAATAAGAAACTCACTTTAGTTGGCTTAGAGGTTTTTGTTCTATTGCTGCTTTTATTTAGTATTTTTATGTTTTTACATGCATGTTTTAGTCTTTTGATGTTTTACATCAGTGGTGTCCAAAGTCGGTCCTCAAGAGCTGGTGTCCTGCATGTTTTAGGAGCTGCCCTGGTTCAACAGAGCTGAACCTAAGGAGTGCTGCCTCCTCAGTTTGCCGTCAAGGTCTGCAGAGGTTTATTAATCAAGCACTTCTTAGGTTCAGCTGTGTCGAACCAGGGCAGCTCCTAAAACATGCAGGACACCGGCTCTTGAGGAGTTTTACATGATGAGTTTTACATGTATCCACTGCCTGTTTAGTGTCTTTTTGGCACCTCTAAATAAAATATATTATTGATATTATTAAGAATAATGATAATAAATTAAGTTTTGAGAGGCCCTCAAAGAGAATAGAGAAATCAAAGAAAATATAGTGCATCTCTTGTCTGTTCATGTATTTGATTTAGTCAGATAATTAAATTGTTATTTCAAAAAGTTAGACCGTAAAAATCAACCTGTTGTTTCCTTCTTGAAACTGAGGAACCAGATGTTTAAAACCCCATTTCTGCCATATAACATTTAATAATGTGGTTTTACTTCCAGTCGTCTGGTTCTTCATGACTCCTGTTAGGATGACTTTAGGCTAAATGTTTTTACAATCAGCTCGTGGGTGATGTTTGCACTGAATCAGCGTAAACAAAGTCATTTTCTGGTCAAAGGATGGAAACACGACTCAGAGTCGGTTTAGTTTGTTCAGGTTCTGCTGTCAGCGTCACACAGAGGATGTCTGTTCTCAGTCCTGTCCGTGCTGTCGCTGATCAAAGGCTGCTCGCACACACACATGCACACAAAAAACACACACACATCATAAGACTCTGACTGACAGCTGTGCTGCGAAGATCTTTATCTGACGCAGCTCCACGCAGGTGTTTGATAAAAGCTCACCTGTCTGTTGAAACAGTCGTGTGTGAAAGAAAAACCCTCCATGAATGACAACAAGTTTCTTTACTGATAAAACCCAGTCTAATCAACACACTGACAGAGTAACAGTTGAATTTGGTGGCAGCTCAGTCACGTGTCGAACGTTTGACCCCGAACAAGTGACATGAATCATGCAACTTTATAAAATACTTGGAAAGTTAAAAATGTAAAGAAAGGAAGATTGATAAACTTGTCAGTGTTAGTTTTGCTTCAAATCTTTATTTTGATGTCTGGAGCCTTACTATGAAAATATTTGGATCATTTTCTTTATTTTCCATGCTTTTTTTTTCTTGCTGTTGAATTGATTTTTGAGCAGGATGACAGATGAGAAACAATCTATACAGTAAAATTACATAACCAATGCATTTTTAACATATCTACAAAGCAAAGTATGATTTTAAATACAATGGAAGCTCTGATCAGAGGTTCTGGTAAACAGGAAGAAGCTGCAGGAGCACTTTATTATCCTTCAGTAAATGTCAGAACGAATGCCTCATTATTCACTAAACATCTGCGACAGTCTGGGTCACATTTACCTGGTGACCAGCAGCATTTTTATTTTTATTTTTTTTGGAAAACACACAGGCTCAGAAACACTAAAGAGTTTGTTACAAGTCCTGATTTGGGATCCAATTCACCCTCCAGTTACAGTGTCGAGGTCCGGAAGAACGGGAAGAGAAAATCAGACCCCAGATCAGATCCTTTTGGATTTCTTTTCTTTTCTTTTCTTTTCTTTTTTACTCCAGTTTGTGAGAATCAGAACTCTGGACCCTCCTTCTTCAGGTTTTTGTAGTCTGTGTTGATGGACATAAACTGTAGAAGAAAGAAACACTTTATTTAACAATAATCCTCAAACTGCAGCTGTTTTAGTTTCTAGAGCTGAAAGTCATTATCATAAAAATATACTTTAATATAAACTCACACAAAACTGCTGGACAGGGGTGTCCCGATAGCAGTTTTTTCTCAAACCAAATACTTCAGTTTGGGTACTTGTTGATACCAGGTACTGATTTAGAACTGAAGCATTAGACAATGACTTTAAAAACATTTTTCTTTAACTCAGAACAAGGTGGTTGTCCTTTCTTACAGGCCCACAGCCCCTCTGACTGGATCAAACTTTTCAACTGTGCATGCAGCTGACTGAGTATCCACTCCGGTATCAATACTAGTATTGGTATTGGTCTCGGGTATTGTGGCGTTTTGTATAAGTACTTGTAAAATGCTAGGTTTAACATGTTACTGCTTGTCATCCACAGCAGGGCGCTGTAGCACCCTCAGCACCCCCACTTCCCATTGGCCCGGTTTGTGTGTGATCTGGGTTACCTTGTACTGGTACGTGGGGTCGAGTTTATTCCACGGCTCAGGGTTTTCCTTCCTGTTCCAGCTGAACACACAAACACAGAGAGTTGTAGAAACTGAGCCTCTTTGGAATCCCAAAGGAACACATGAGGGTAACTGTAACTAACCTATACGTTTTCATTTTAATGACTCAACTCTTGAGGGTAAATTTCAGAACACAGTTGTTGATTTTCCAAATTTTCTATCTAATTTAATTTAATTTAATTTAATTTAATTTAATCTAATTTAATTTAATTTAATTTAATTTAATTTAATTTGTACTTTGCAGGTAGTCCAGGCTTGTATTACACATTCAGTATTCTCAAGTATACTTCAAGTTTTTGTATTTTGGTAATTGGGACTCATGCCGCTTTTTATTCGCACTTCCTTTTTCTCTTTAAATCTGTTTTTTTATGTTTGAACTGTTTTTATTCTTTGTTTTTCTATTTTTACCCTATCTGTAATTGCTGATGACACATCAGAATATCCCCACTGAGGGACAATAAAGGCTATTCTATTCTATTCTATTCTATTCTCTAGTCTAGTCTAGTCTAGTCTATTGTACTTCTAACTGATTTTATAAAAGCTTGTAAACAATCACTGTTGCAAAGAATATGTATTTTATTAGCTGCATAAAGGACAAGGCAGGTTTATTTAAGTAACTGCATATACAGTATAATGAGATTTCATAAATGAACAATTTCGTTGACAGGAGTTCGGTAAGAGGAAGTGAAATGTGAGCACCAATAGAATGAAATTTAAAGTGTTTGTTTGTTTTTCCCCCAGGTATTAAAATTTGTATGTCAGGAAGAAATAATAAATAAGTAGAGAGACATGGGTCTCTGGTTAAATAATTTAAAAGTATGATTACAATGTAGATTTCGCCCTGTTTATCTCATAGAGCAATTTCCTGTTTATTTTATCTTCTGTACAGGAATGACAGTGACAGATTTAATCCCCAACTAAAAGTGTTTAAATAATTCAAACACTGAAAATGAACATGTTAAAAAGGCAAAATGACAAATGAAACATTATCAACAACAGCTGCACTATTTTTATTCAATTCTTATCATCGCAAGTGCAAACTTAAACCACAAACTAAAATCTGTATCAGTTTATCAAACATCTTTTTAACATTTGATTTGATTTATCATTTCTGAGCACAAGGGACAAATTAAAATGTATTCCTAGAATTATTAAGCTCAAGTAGCTCAAGAACTGGTTTTATTGATAGACAGAGACTCAGACTGTTGCAAAAAAAAAAGGGGGTTTGAGTAAATTTAATGAAAGGTTTTAGGGTCTTACGTTACATGTGGACCTCTGGCCAGCCGGATCAGGTACACGAACGCTCCGCCCATCCCCAGGCAGATTAAGAACATCTGAGGGACGATCTGAGGAGAAACAAATAGACACAAAAACATCAGGGTCCTCAGGTGCATTTTTTACATTTTTCTGAAAGATAAAATAAATAACCCCTTATTAAACTCTTGGTTATGGAATTTGTCTTAACAATAAAAACTTAACTTTACAAAAAAATTGTCTGGTCCACCTGCTGTGGAATGAAAACTGTTAAATTATTGTCAGACTTGCTGATTTAAAAAAACTCAAAATAATGTTAACCAGTCTTATAGCAGGAATAAAACAATATTTTTCAACTGAATCATCCTCGGGCTCAATGAAACAGGAAAAGCACATGGATTTATTTTGAGAAATGTGACATGCTTTTAATTCAGCTGTTTGATTATTTGTTTATTTGTAAATTATCCCCAGCCGTACGCCTCACGTCAACCATTCATTTGTTTAATTTATCGTGCATTTTAAATTAGACACTCCAGTTATTCTCCACAAAGTTCAGCAGAAAACTCAAAGCATATTTTTTGCTTGCTCTGTGGTTTAAATCAGGATTAGAAGCAGCAGCTCAGAGGATTAATTAGAGGTCTGGTCAGGCCACAGCGCAGGTCCTGTGGTCCTAATGAACCTGATGAATCTGTGGCTGGATGTAGGAGAGTGAAAGGCAGCATAATACATACGGCATCTAAAACACTATTATTTTTCTGGGTTTTCTATTTTTTGACTCATTTTTGGCGTTATAAGCTCCAAATATTGTCATCAAACTGGAAGTGTATTTTTAATACTCCAGCTGGTCAAAATGACTCACAAAGTTTAAAAATTCTAGAAACAATTTTGTTCTTTGTCCTCATTTTAGCCTAGAAATTTTTGACCTGTAGTTTTTGCACAAAGACGGCCTGAGACTTATTTTCAGTCTCCTTTTTGTTCAGTCAGGGAGTGACAGACATTGGTTTGTGGTAGCCATGGTGCTTACAATGAGCCACTGGCAGCTGCTTTCCCATTTTTTTATTTTGGTTTTTTTTGCACTTCTTATACAATCCATACATCACAATATTGGCCTTTTTTTAACCTTAAGATTATTATAAAGTCCTGTTGGGATTAGGGGCAGTAGCTGCATCAACACTTTTTAATCTGTTGATCTTTTAGTGACACACAAGCCTGATGAAGCACTCTATAAGGGTTCAGGAAGCAGGTTTAAAGCTGCTGAATGATGGTTTGGTGCTTATTTTTAATTATAGCGACATAAATTATTGTTTTTTTATGCTGTACCTTCTGTAGTGATCATAAACTCTAAACTAAAAAATTGTAAACTACTTTTTTGTTACATGTATGAGCCAGTGTATTTGGTTTTGAGCAGAGCATCAGTTTCTGTTCTCGTTACCCAAAAACTCATCCGTCTGACTTCCTGCCTGTCGCTCGACTCGAGCAGCCCGTCTCTTTCTCTCCACCTGTCTGTCCTTCACGAAGGAGGTTTTGCTCCCTCTCCTGTCTCAGCTTGTCTAGTTTTCAGTACGATACACCAAACTGAGGAGCTCTGCTAGTTGTCATCCTTCTTTTTCTCTCTCTGGGGAGGAGAACGATGTGAACCTATAATGCTCTGTCACTCCTCTCTGTGACAGTGGAGCTGTTTTTAAAGAAAAGTCTGAAATAATCCCCTCATAGGAGGGGAAAAAATCACTATTTTTAAGTAAACTCTTTTCCAAAATCTGGTTTCCTAAACGAGTGGATTTAGTCAGTTTGTGTTTTAGAGGTTAATCCTGCCTCAGTTGCTGTTAAAAGCAAACAGGAGCAACTGAACTGACTGAATTAGAGCTCAGAAAAGATTAGGCATGATTAGACTTCTCATCATGTCCTCTGCCTTAACTGAATCCAGCATCACACAAACAAACAAAAAGACTCATCGGTCCATTTAAAGGAACATCAGGTCAGTTTTATGTATTCAGTTTTTAAGTGAGCACAATTAAATTTAAATTAACCTATACGCTTCCATCTGACGCTTTAACTTAGAACCAGCTGGAGACGAATACTGGAGACAAAAAATCATTTGTAATAGTAAAATTAAAAGAATCGCATGTTTCTATTCTATGTACTAAAGCAGATTTTGAGTCAGTTTTCCAAAAGCTTGATGAATTTCTTCTAAAATGTAAAAAAAAAAAAAAAAAAAAAAAACAGGAAAGAAACGTGGCTTACTCACTCCAGGGTGCCTCTTTGCGTGTTCGACTCCCATTCGAAACATCAGGGCTACACTTGAATTAACTTTCTGTGCAGAAACAGAATAACTCAGAGGCCCAACAACCACTGGCTTCGCACAGCCGGCAGGATTTAGACCTGTTGCTCTCTGAATATGGAGCAAAGCAAAGGGGAGGAGGAGGAGGAGAAGGAGGTCATTCTCATCTAATTACAGCCACTGCTGCTCCCCTATTGGGTGATTAAAGAAGACTGTTGAACAGTTTAAATATACCGGTAAATGTTTTTTTTTTGTTTGTTTTGTTTTGTTTTTGTTTTTGTTTTTTCTGAAAGATCCTCTTCCCAAATCGTTGAGGTTTGTGTCGTTTGAAAAAGTTGTGTTGGTTTCTGCAGAGAGCTGGGAGGTTTTGTTCTTCGTCGTGATCTTTTGCAGTCCCTTGGGGAGTCCAGAGGAGGAAGACATATAAACAGAGAGTTTTTCTGGAGCTCAGTGAGGACTTTATGTGGAGCTTTATAAGCAAAAGGTTCAAGAACAAGCCCCATGAGCTAACGTTTACTTGGTGTGGAAAATGAATGTTTCATCAACACTCCTCATCAATGGATGCTCCTGGCTTGATTACTGTTTGCAGCTGTAGTCTGGGAGACTAAAATCACCATCTTTTTACCTTTTCAGGCGTCTCAGAAGACCAAGCTTCGCTGCCAGAAACCCACTCAAACTTGAGTGTTTGGCAGCTTAACAACTCAGCTTAGAAACCATTATTAGCAGACAAAAAACATGGGGGTTTACATTTGAAATTTAAATTCTCCATGCAGGTGCTTTGGACGTGGCTGAGGGCAGGAAAAGCATGCAAAAAACACAAGTGCTTCATGTTTACGCACTGATGAGATGCATAAAACTGAGACAAATCCCCGGGGCTCGCTGAGATGGAAACACTTTGTGCTCATCAAAAGGAAACATCCCAGTCTGCTCAGTGGACCAGAGTCTTTGATTCAGTCCGTTTAATTGAATGTGAAGATGAGTGCAATTCAATTTGGACACAAAAGGCTGCCTCTCTTGACATCAGAGATGGTTCATCAAAACCCAGAAACACAGACAACTGTTCTGGGGGAAAAAGCAGAGCTATTCATCATGTGACCGTTGAGTTGGGAAATCTGTATTTTTATTGAAGAATTTATTTTTTAATCGTGTTTACAGAAAAGAAATGTCACACAATATAGGCTGGTAGAGACGACTAAAATATTGCAAAACTAGAGATGGAAGAGGTTTCTAAACTGCATCTCCATCTTCTGCTTACCTGTAGTCAGGCAACAGGTCCAGGAGAGAAACCCTGACCTCCCTCTTCCCAGCGACACTTTCCAGCTCATCCTGGGGAACCCTGAGGTGTTCCCAGACCAGAGAGGACACACAATCCCTCCAGTGAGTCCTGGATCTTCAACAGGGTCTCCTACCAGTGGGACGTGCCTGGAACACCTCTAAAGGGAGGCGTCCAGGAGGCATCCTCATCAGATGAACCACCTCAACGGACTCCTTTCGATGTGGAGGAGCAGCGGCTCTACTCCGAGCTCCTCACCCTATCTCTAAGGCTGAGCCCGACCACCCTACAGAGGAATCTTATCTCGGCCGCTTGTATACAGGACCTTGTTCTTTCAGTCATGATGGTAAATGGACTGTACTTATATAGCTCCTTTCTATCCTTCCAGGACACTCAAAGCGCTTCACACTACAGACATTCACCCATTCACACTCACATTCACACACTGATGATGGCAAACTACAATTGTAGCAACAGCTGCCCTGGGGCACACTGACAGAAGCGAGGTTGCCATACACATAAACCAAACCACCATAAATTAGATGTGAAATGGTTTGTAAAAGTCAGTTTGCCACGGTAGGCAGCCTGTTACTGCAACTCCATTTGAGCTGCTGTAACGTTCAAATTTCCCCACTGTGGGATCAATAAAGTTCTGTCTTATCTTATCTTATCTTATCTTTTCTTATCTTAATATTACAAGAATAAAGTCATAATATTACGAGAACTCCTACACAAAAAAGCAGTTTTGCCACTTAATTAAAATAAAGAATATTGAACATCTTGTGAAGTTGTACCTTGATATTGGTTAAAATAAACCTTTGTAAATCTTTTAGCACATCAATGAGCAGCGGGACTTTGAAAAGATTGTGCAAATGCACATGATAAACTGAAGCCATATCGCAGCTGACTGCATTGACAGATTTAGTCATCACGTTCGTTGGATGGAAGCATGTCATACTAACAGTGACCCAAAAGTCATCGCAGACTACTTTATAAACACAGTGATATGCATGGCTGTCCACAGCAGGTGAGATGAAAGTGACGAGGAAATAAGAGAAAAAAATCAGAACTGACAATGGATGTCATAATGACATTGTTTTGTGATATTACAACATTTTTCTCATATTGTGACTTTTTTCTCAAAATAATTTTTTCATATTATTATGACTTTTTAATCATAGTATTATGAC